CTGCAGCGTTATTGGGAGTTGAAGCCACAGTTGCCCATCCTACTCCACGCTCTGTTTGCGCATCTCGATCATCGCATTCCGTTTGTCCGAACGCGAGCGCAGCGCATGCTCTTCCAAATTCTCCGATCCTGGGCGCCCGGATATGACGAACTCCCCGATCGAGCGTTGTATCCAAGCCGGTCCGCTCTCAAAGCATCGATTTCCAGCCTTGAAGCCGAGGCAGAGGACATGTATTGGAAAGAGGACGAGACTAGCGTCGATGCCGAGCCGAAAATGAAATGGCTCTCTTCGGAGGTTGTGCGTTTCATGTCTCCGCTGTGTCCCATGTTGGCGGAACTATGGGGCTCTTTAGCGCTGTCTTGGGGGACATCGTGCTCGATTAGGGCTACCGCGTTCAGGTCGCTTCAGATCTTCCGAGCAATTATGGTCCGTGTCTCGCCGGGGGATCTTGCTCTTCTGTTGGGTCGTCTATCCAACACGATTTCCGGCCCCGACGACAATATCAAGTCGTTTACGGCGGAGATCATGCGCACGATGCATGCCATGGTTTCCTTGCCTGATCTTGACAAGTCCATGTTCCCTCAGATGTTTTGGTCTGCCTGTGCTTCTCTCTCGACCACAGTTGAGCATGAGTTTGCTCAGACACTCGACATTTTGGAGAATCTCCTTCTGTGGATGGATTTGGATGACCCAGCTACCGCCGAACTCCTTCTTTCGCGTCAGCCTCTGAATTGGAATGGTCCTGAGTACTTGCAGCCCGTCTTGCTGACCGGTCTCCGATCGTCCACCACCTCTGATGCGACCATGAAGATCCTCCGGACATTGACCAAAGTCCAGGACGACCGTCTCATCGATCCCACTAGAGGCCGTCTTCGCGATCTGTATACACTGGCGCTTCCACGTTGTTTACATGCCTACACTCCTGATACGCCAAACGATCCCGCGTTGAAGGAGTTCGCCGAAGACATCAGTGTTCTCGCCGAGCAAGAGGGACGCCAGAGCATCCAGAAGATCATGACCTCCTTTGTCAAAGGCCATTTCCGTACGCGCGACGACTTCCTGCGTCAATCTGTGGCGAGCCTTCGCGAGCATTATGGCGTTGATTACTGGACAGAGGTGGTCACGCTGCTCCTCGGCCTCGTCCTGAATCGTCAACGCTGGCTGCGCGTGCAGGCGATGCAGATTCTCAAGCTCTTGTTCCAGCAGCGGGAGACAAGGAATCCGGTGGAACTACTGGGGTCTGAATTGCTGATGCCTCTTTTGCGTCTTCTCGAGACCGACTTGGCTGCGCAGGCCCTGGAGGTTCTCGAGGAGCCAATGAAGATGTCTGGTGGTTTGGCGGCGAAGCATGTGTTGCGCATGAGCATGCACGGGCGCTCACTGACTAAGGACGTCAACTCGGTCGCGACCATTTTTGGAGTTCCAGAGCCGTCTGGGTGGTGCGTCGTGCAGGCAGAGACGCTCCGCGATACCTGCCGGTCGAACATGATGGCGGTGTTCGACACATGTTCCATGCCCACGCGGCCTTCGCGCATCGACTTTGAGCCCGAGGTAGAGGCCCTCGCGGCGTCCAGTCCGTTGCAGGAGGATCTCGGGGGTCTCGTACAGAACCTGCATGACCTCACGACGTTCTTCCAAGAGGATGAACACTCCGCCGAGATGCCGGCGTACACCATTCCGAATCGGCGGCTCGAGGCGCGAGTCGCCGCGATTCTGGCCAAGTCCATATCGTCCGAGGCGGTCAACGATGTTCCCCAGACGCCCTTCCGTGATGTATTCCGCGTTGAGGCCATGAGCCCGACGGAGGACTCTGATGACGACTCGGATACTGACTCTGAACTAGACGCATTCATATTTGACACCCCTGCGACAAGTATTTATCGCTCTGCACCTAATGGCTCACGTCTGCATTGATTTCTTGACTGCATTGCTTTGTATATAACACGCATGTACCTTAGCCACATAAATTGTATACTTAGGAGGACGCGTTGGCGATGCGTGGAGGCTGCGTGGGACAGCCACGTAAGCAACACAGCCACGCCTGCAGTCGCCTAAATAAGCTCTCTGCTGTCCTCTTCCTCCATTTAACGGACGCTTTCTCAGTGCGTTTTTGAATCTTACGCATTATCAGCTCAAGAACGTGTCTCGTAGACCTCTAATTCGGTCATGTTTATCCTCAATTGGTTCTGGGATGTCCTCGCCCAGCTGGGTACTTAACCACCGCATTTTCTCGGTATTTCCAGACGCTCAGCCCGCTATCTACAGGACTTTTGCACAAAAATGCCAAAATTCTTTTCCTCGGTCTAGACAACGCTGGGAAAACGGTGCGACGGGTTTCTGGCGGTGGTTCGGTCACTGACCATGGACTTGGCCTGTCCAGACCCTTTTGCACATGCTTAAAAACGACCGGCTCGCTACTCTCCAGCCAACTCTCCACCCGAGTACGTCTGCTCAATTATTTGAAACAACTGTTCTCATCTGGACATAGCGTCGGAGGAGCTTGCCATTGGCAACGTTAAATTCACGACTCACGATCTTGGCGGACATCAACAGGGTTTGTGCATCTTCCGACTTGAACCGCTTATCGGCTTGACATTTTTCGTTCAGCGCGCCGGCTCTGGCGTGACTACTTCCCTGAAGTAGATGCCATTATCTTCCTGGTAGACACCGCCGACCACGAGCGCTTCGCCGAGTCCAAAGCAGAGCTCGATGCTCTGCTGGCGATTGAGCAGCTGGCGAAGGTCCCTTTCCTGATTCTTGGCAACAAGATCGACGCACCGGGCGCGGTCAGCGAGGAGGAGCTCAGGCACCACTTGGGACTGTACCAGACTACCGGAAAGGTGCGTCCGCTTTCAGTATTTCTCGTCGCTGGCTTAATCCTCGTACAATAGGGCAAAATCCCTCTCAACGACATTCGTCCCATTGAAATCTTCATGTGCTCTGTCGTCCAGAGGCAGGGGTACGGAGAAGGTAATCATTTTTCTTATCCGTCTTGCTCGCAATTCTCACGTCCTCCAGGTTTCCGATGGGTGTCGCAATACGTCGGTTATTTTTGTGGAATGGTTTTTTCCTCGGCTAACCTCCCAACAGATTTGAGCCAAGCAACAATGAACGATGCCCGGAGGATAGAGGGCTGTTTTATTGGGTGCTTTTGGACCTTCGGCTCGCATATCTTACATAGTAGTATGAATACGTTCTGTGTTGGCCTTGAGGCTTTTCACGCTGTCCATGTCTGGCTGGATATATGTTTTTTCAATCCATTCTGTATTCTATGGTGGCCTACCCGTTGAGAATGATGGTCTTGTCGTGTTGGCAATTGAAGTCATGCCACCTCTTCCTTCATTCCGCAATGTTTTGGTACTCTCCATAGCTATTCGCGTTGGCCTCATCCTCTACAGCGAATGGCACGACGCGCATTCGGTCGTGAAATACACAGATATTGACTACCGCGTCTTCAGCGACGCGGCGCGTTTCCTTCTTCGCCCTGGGACAGACAACCATGCTCAAGGGCCACTCAAAAACAAGCTAGCTGAGCTGAACCTTGCTGTTGGAGAGTGCGCCCGTTTGTCTATTCGTCGTCCTGCGCCAGAGCCAATATTCCTCCAGTCCGTATACCCGGGAGACGTACCGCTACACGCCGCTCCTTGCGTTGCTGCTCGCGCCGAACGAATGGCTCCCTTCGTTTGGCAAATATCTCTTCGCGGCGTGCGATATATTCAACGGCGTTCTGATATACGATCTGCTCGTGTCTTTTGTGCTCCCCCGCGACTCGGAGAATGCAACTCGTCACAAAGACCTCGCGACACTGTATAGTGCGTTGCACCTGCTCAACCCGCTCGTTTTCTCCATTTCCACCCGCGGCTCATCCGAATCCGTTCTTTCGTTCTTCGTGCTGCTCACGCTGTACGCAGCGCTCAAAGGCCGTTGGGATGCTGCGGCAGTCGCGCTCGGGCTGAGCACACACTGGAAGATATACCCCGTCGTCTACGGTGTCGCGTGTCTCGGCGTCATTGGCGGCCCCCCACTTACCTCTGGGTGGAAGGCGTATTTCCACACACTCGTCAATCTGCGGACAGTTCGTTTCGCTGTACTGAGCGCGTCGACATTCTTCGCCCTCGGCGCAGGGTGTTATCTTGTGTGGGGCTACCCGTTCTTTTACGAATCGTACCTCTACCACATCCACCGCCTTGACCACCGGCACAACTTCTCGCCCTACTTCTATCTCATCTACCTGACTTACCCGTCGCGCGACCTAACGGTGGACCTGCCGTTGTGGAACCGCCTCTTGCGGTCGCCGTTGACGAGCTTTGTCCCGCAGATGGCGCTTGCGATCGGAACGGGCCTCGCCTTCGGCCGTCGCAAAGACGACTTGGTGTTCGCATGGTTCGTACAGACCGTCGTCTTTGTCGTGTTCAACAAGGTGTGCACGTCCCAGGTATGCATTCCTTCTTTCCCCACGCATACCCGTTGATTATGTCTATAGTACTTCCTGTGGTACCTCCTCCTACTCCCGCTGCTCCTCCCCCGGCTGTCCATCTCTCGGCGGAATGCCATTGGGTATGTCGGCGTGTGGGTTGGTACGCAGGCTCTGTGGCTCAGCGAAGCGTATAAACTGGAATTCCTGGGCCAGAATGTGTTCTTTGGGTTGTGGGTTAGAGGGCTCGTATACGTCGCGGGGAACTGCTGGGTGCTCGCGGGGATCATGGACGGATATAATGTCCCCACTAGAATTAAAGCATTGTAACCTTGTTACGACAAGTTGTTTCAACTACATAACTAGCCATGCAAGTCCCTTCTCAAAAAGTGAGGTTCATAACCAACGCAAGATGCATCTTGCGAGGACAACCGGGGTTGGAAAGAATTGATCACCGTGGATTGAACGCGGGCCCTTTATCGTGAGAAAACCGGGGATGAAGTATAGAAAAGCATGGTTCGTTCAAAAGTAGGCAAAATAGAAGAGTTGCGAACAGGACAAAAAAAAAAGAGGGATGCAAAAAGAATGGCATCACCGTGGCTTGAACACGGGACCTTCAGATCACAACACATGACACGCTTCAGTCTGCTGCTCTCCCAACTGAGCTATGACGCCGTGCAAGTAATGGCCTAAGGCGTAGTCTGTATCACCAGAGACTGAGTAAGGCGCGGTGTGAAAGAAACTGGCTGCCTTTCCAGCTGAGCTATGAAATCAAGGAAAATCCATCTCGAAATTTCGATATTACAACAAAGAGGTATCTCAGTACGCAAGAATCCAAAGGGGTATGTACTATGCGATAAATTATCCACACGCGTCCTGCCTCGTTAACTTACACGGCACCAGCACCTTCCCCGCCCCCAAGCTTAATGCCCCCCGACCACCACCCCCACGCGCCGAGTCCGAGCACAAAGTTGAACATGCCCACGAGCACGGAGCCCGCGCCGAGGAGCGTGAGGAGCCACCAGACGCGACCGATGGCGCGGTCGAGGATGCGGCCGGTGTAGCGCTTGAGCGTGGCGCGCGGGTCGGGGGTGGGGGTGTAGTGCGCGGGGAGGCGGAGGACGGGCGGGGTGGATGAGGTTGGGGTTGATGCGGAGGAAGAGGGCGAAGGGGTGGGGAGGAGGAGGAGGGAGACGATTGGTTTCTGGGCGGGTGAAAGCAAGTAAGCATGAGCAGAAGACGAGAAGAGGGGACAGGAAAGTACGAACATGGTCAGACGTGGTGTACCCAGGCACGGAGGTGTAAAGCAGGTTCTTTATCGCAGATTCGTCCGGGTTGTCGGGCGAGTCGGTGTACGTGGTGTACAGTATCCGGTCCGTCCACGACGGCATCCGCTTCTCACTTCATGTACCATTCGTATTAGTATTCACGCCTCGAAAAGTGCACGCACCTATACGCATCGACCTGCCCAAGCTGGTACTTATAGCTGCACTTGAACCGCCAAAACTCGCCCTCGCGCAGACCAACAAACGCAAGGCTCGCGGGGTTACGCCGCTCCAGCAGCAGCTGGTCATACTCCTTCAGCGCCTCCCACTCGCTCTCCGCCGTCAGCGCCTGACCCACCACCGCGGACGCGGCGCCATTGAGCGGGTGCTCGGGGGGGACGACGACGCGGAAATTCAGGTCGCCGAGTACGAAAAGATGCGACGTGTCGTAGAGCGTCGTGGGCTTTCCTTTGCCCTTGTCTGCGGGTGCAGGGGTGGGAAAGAGCAGCGAGCCTACGATGTGGTGCCAGTCCGCAATCCGGTCCGCGAGGTTCTCCGCGTGCGCGGTGAGGTGCGCACAGACGAAACTGGGTTCGAGGTGTACGGCCTGCATGAGGACCGAATGTAATTGTAACGCAAAGGGCGAACACGTACGTGAAGGTTTCGCCCACACCGCCGTCCTCGCCCGGGACGCGGAAGCGCACGCCGACGGCGCCCTTGTTCGACATGTATCCTGGCCCTGAGCCGGTCCAGGTGGTATGCACGTCGCACGCCGTGCGCGCGACCCCCGCGTCGCGCGCGTACACCAGCAGCGCGACGCCGCCGTTTACGACCTTTGCGATGAGGGCATAGCGCTCCTTGTTCAGCGAATTCGCCTCGATCTGCGCGAGGATGTGCTCGTTGCGGCTGTTGATGACGTTGGTGGAGAGACCGGAGACTAGGGGTGGGTGAGCTTCAGCGCGTGCTTGAGAGTAAGTACAGGAAGGCTAACGGCCGAGGTGAAGGGGTAGGAGCTCCTGGAAGCCCACTGCGATGATGTCTGCTGGGCGCTGGTGCGAGAGAAAGGAGGAGACTTGGAGGGTTGGGCTGAGCCAGTCGACAAGGTCCTGGGGCACGCCATTCTCGCCCTGGAGATTTGTGTTGTAGCTTGCAAGCTGGATGAGGAGCATGTTCACAGTCCAGATTCAAAGAGCATACGCGACAAAGCTAGTACCACAGTAGGAACGCGTGGATGGTTCGATATAGGACTGCACGACGCGAGAAGGAAGCAGTTAAGGAAGGCACTCTATGTCACGTTCAACTGCCTCGGGTATACAACAATTGTACATATAATCTATTCAGGGGGCCCGCGTGAAACACCGAGGTCGCGCAGCTGGCCCTTTGCGAGGTCGTACACCCAGCCGTGGACCCACACCTTCTTGTCGTCGGTCCACGCATCGACAATGGTCTGGGCCATGCTCAAGTTCTGGACCTGCTTCTTGACGTTCTCCTCGACGATGAGCGGGAGGGCCAAAACCTTGGGCACGCTGGACATCTTGAGGGATGCGACGAGCTTGGTGAGCGGTGTGAGCCACTGGTTGAGCGGGGCGTCGGGCTCGAGGCTGGGGTCGATTACGCAGGTCGGAGCGTGGGGGTTGAATTGAGCTGAACAAGCAGCACCAAAGCACGCGGCGGCGCCTCCGCACTCGGTGTGGCCAACAATAACGACTGCAAAACGGGGGGAAAAGAAAGGACAAGCGGGGTTGGGAAGACGGTTATGAGCAAGGAGCAAGAAAGAAAGCACCGTGTTGCACGCCCAGATGGTTGACCGCATATGTGAGCACAGACTGCACGCTGTTGTCGTCGAGGTGGAATTGGCTGGCCGCGGCGAATCAGCAGCTGCCACATAATACATACTAGACACCCACTTTGCGATGTTTCTGTGCACAAATATCTCGCCCGGGCGGACAGCAGTGACGACAGACTCGGGAACCCGCGAATCGGAGCAACCTATCCAGAGGATCTACACCCATCTCAGCCGCTGTAGCCCGTGCTCCCTCCCCCACACATACCTTCGGTGTCTGACCAGTTGCAGACTTAGCAAAAAACTCAGGCTCCTGGCTCTGTACACGCTTAGCCCACTCGGAGTTAAGGGAGAAGAACCGCTCGAGGTCAGGATGGGGGGACATGGTGGATGCGGGAGAGGAGAGACCCGCCTATCTTTATAGCAAAAATATAAATTGCCGCGTCACATCATGCATCAGATCCCAATCCTTCCTGCATCCCGCCTCGCATGGTGTCAGAGCTACCATCAGCGGCGTCTCCGCTTCTCTACCCTCACGCGACTCGTTTCCGCTATATCCGAGTCCGCGCGCACCCTCAGTGCATTTTGCCTCCATTCAAGCGACTCTGTTCTACGGCTGCTATCGGTTCTTAATAAACGTCAATCCAAAACCAACGCGGGTACACTCGTTGGGCTTCCAATCATCCGCGGAGCCGTTGGACTCTCTAAGTTTCCCACTCAGGTTAACGAACGACGGCGGCAAGAATAACTTGAACGTCGTAAATTGCAAGAGGAACAATAATAATTTATCCGCGCCTATCAATCACTCTGAATCCAAACTGAATACTCTTTGTGCCTTGAATCTTCATCTATCTCGATCCTCGCCCTACGTCCGCCACAACTCACAGCTCTTCTGTCGTTCTCATTCAAACCTCGCTCGGTAATTCGCTCTCTGGCGAGGGAGATTGCTACCAATCTCCGCAGTTATTATAGCCAACCCCAGGTTCCCCTGGACGATTACCTCCTCCGGATTACGAGTTCCCTTGTGCGCTTCGGTCGAACTTACGCCGGAACCTGAACGTCTGCATGGAGCTTGTTGCTGTCTTCCAGGGTGCTTCTGTTCGCCATCCGGCGCCCGGGCTACTTGCCGAGGCGAAGACATCAACGTTAGGTAGTTATGGCCGACCGGCGCGAAGCATCCTCAGCGCAGAGGACCAAGCTCAAGTCCAAACGCTGGAACAGATATCGAGGCCACAACTTCATTTCGGTGTACAACAAAGCCGAGCCAAATGTCTTCATTTCTACCTGTCGAATTGCATTGGCTCAGAGCTATCTCAGCCATGTTCTACGTCATGGAGTACTGGGGCTTCCAACGCCGACCCAGATTCCGATGACGAGTCTTCCGACGATAACGACGAGTCTTGCAGGTCGACGACGCTCAACCAAAGTCCACGTGTCTTTCTGTACTCGAGAACTACGGCGGCCACTCTCGGACCCTCAGCTTTTGTGCCCATCCCTGTTCTCGCCCATGCTCGTGTGATTCCATTCTCCTTCCTCTTAGTCTCGAAGCTGCGTGCTGCGTACTCCGCAGTCTGCAGAGTCTCCGTTTTCGTAACTCAATCGACGAACCGACGAAACCGCGAACTGCGCCAGATGCGAATTCCAAATGCAACGCGGCCAAAAGGTATCTTTGACTCAGAACTGTCAGGTTGTGCAAGTATACGAGCGCGTGGATTACTCAAAATACAATATGGTTTAAATTACAATGCCCCTTTCAATTCTAGCAGTCAGCAGAATTACTTCTGGCCGAGCCCGACAGCATCCTTCGCCTTGTTAAGCAGGGATTCATCGTTGTTGTTCGAGTTGCCGGAGAAAGTGTCGCCAGCTTTCTGGGACGTGGACTTCTCGGACTGGGGCTGCAGTGTCGAGGCGATGCTGTCGCCCGTGCCCTTGACGTGGTCGCCGACTTGCTCGGTAGTCGACTTCTGGCTATCGGGCTAGAAGAGTGCTTAGTTTGGGCGGTGGAGACAGTAATTTGGATCAAGACGAACCTTCAAAGCAGCACCAGCCTTGTCGGTGAAGGATTCGCGACCAGTGTCAGACATGTTGTTGATAGTTCTGTGGAAATGTGAATTACTATAGGGGCAGTGTTGCAAAGAACGCACAAGTGGGTTGAGTGGTTGGGAGGAAGGATAATGAAAAAAAAACGGGTGCAACCTCCGCTTTATACCAAATTGCAGGATATTCATCGCGAATGTGTTTTCCGGTTCATAAATGACGTCTCGAGAAATTCAAAGAAACGGGTCATAATCGACCTCACTCATAGCTCCGGAGCATGCGCACCATGCGCACTTGATTCTCGCTGCGCACTTGTGACTTGATTCAATTTCCGCTGACCCCCGCTGACGTCAAGAACGCACGAATGGCGCAGTGCTCAGCGCTCAGCGCTCATCTGAATGGCGAAAACATATGCATGTCATTATTTTGTCGAGACCGATGCGTCTTATCCATGTTCACATATTTTTCGAGAATGGCGGGCTTTACGCAGCCACATTATCAAAAACTAAGACTACAGTACATTAAATAAAAGGTCCATATCAATAGTACATCCTCATCTCTGTTCAGCCAAGTAGTGGCAAGGTCTCGCC